TCTAGTGTTGCAGGTGTCTACCGGCAACTACATAGATGGCTCTGATTATGTACTATCAGGTGATCTGTACGCTAATTTTCCTATACCATAAAAAAACTATAAATACAGTCTGATATAGGACTGCACGGTTGGGTAATTGGCTGCAGCGCAACGTGTCGCGGGTTCGATTCCCTCACGGAACAATTCTTTGTGTGAACCATAGATTGTTGATCCGGGTGTGTGTGTGATGTGTATGTGAACTTGTATGTTTGTAAACGCACCCACGATACAGGAGATAATCCTAGTGTGGGCCGAAGTTTTAAAAAAATAAAAAGAAATATACAGCTTTGTTAGTGGCCAATAAATCTGTCACGATTATGTAAACCAATTGGATTCCTTCAGCTATTTAGTTACTAATATACGTACAACCTTTATCTATGATCATCGGGCAAACGACACCTTAAATGCAAATTATAAATGTTTATATAAAGAGTTCAATCTATATTCTAATTCGATGGCTTGCCGCTAGAGGGCAGGGTGTTGGCGATGACGGCACTTTTCAAAACTAAATTAAACTGTTATGACGAAACAGCGGCTTAAACTGTACGATGTAAGATTGTATCCTATCCTTAACTGAGATTCTTGGGTAAATACTAAGGATCTTGTTTAAATATTTTGTATACATAATCACAGTTTTGCTTTGAAATGTACTTTTAGACGGTCATGTTGTGAGGGTCCCTTTTATTATAATGTGGGCCTTTTGCCACCTATCCGATACCATTGCATTTCTGTAGTTATCATAATGGAAGATATGAGACGTTTAAAAATATATCTGTAATGTTTTAAGTTTGTTGAAACTAAAGACTTAAAAAAAATTAAGAAAAAGAAACTGTAGACCTCGTTGGCGAGTGGTCGCAAGTGCAACTCGGCAAGGGGTCCCGGATTCGATTCCCGGGTCGGGCAAAGTATTACTGGGTTTAAAAAATTCTGAGTAGTAGCACGGAGTCTGCAATTGTGCCCGATATATGGCAACAGGCTCACCCCCTATTACGTGGGACTCATAACGTAAATAGTGAAAAGTGGGTGTTACATTGTACAGTGGCATAATGTGCACCTCTTCCTACCCCTTCGGGGGTAAAAGGCGCGGTGTCATGTTATGTTTATTGAAACTAATTACTTATTCCAAGTTGTGATATAACTGTATGTTACTAGGCCAGGAGTTTAGGAAAGCTAAATGGATACTGAGCGACGAGCAGCCCTTACTTGCCATCCTCAAACCCACCGGAGATCATCACATGATTTTTTTTATGGCATTAGCCGGTAAAAGAGCTGAAGGATCACCTGATGGTAAGCAATCGGCGTCGCCCATGGACACCTGGAACACCAGAGGCGTTGCAAGTGCGTTACGAGCCTTTTGGGGAATTAGGAGTTTGAGGATCGTTGGCGATTCAGGAATTGGGAAGATTGGGGGAGAAGAGAGTAATTGGGCCTCCGGTAACCTCACTCACACGTCGAAACACAACGCAAGCGTTGCTTCACGTCGGTTTTCTGTGAGGCCGTGGTATAACTCCGGTCGAGCCGGCCCATTCGTGCCGAAGCATGGCTCTCCCACACTTAAAATTGAAATTACATTAGTCCTAGACTTGTAATTTGAAGTAATAAGCTTGAAATCGCCAAAAAGCGTACTCATTTCTTCTTAGTGTGAGAAGAGGCCTTAACTCAGCAATTGGACAATTACAGACTGGCGATGATGCGGGCGCCGCGACGCTGCGGAGTTGACAGAAATTAATCAATAAAGCAATCACGTGAACTTTATCAAAGGTCTGTGTACTAGGTTATCAGTTTTAAAAGATAACTTTGGCGAATGACTAACAACTGTCGATGATGTGTTACAGTGAGTCAAATCATTTGAGCTCTTTCGTTTACCTCATACATGTATTTATTTAAAATCAAACAAAATTCAATTTTTTAATACTTTTTAATAAATACATTTAAAAATATAAAAATGGTAGCTGAGTAATGACAGCATGGTGCAAGCTACCGGTGGCTAGGGTTTCAGAGACAGAAACCTCACGATGCGAGCTGTTTGAAGGAGAACTGCCTCCTTCATCCGGCTCTTGAACTATCCGTCTAACGCCAGCCTTCTAAGTTGGTACCGAAGGTGTTATGGACTAGGTTTGGTTACTTGTTGGTTATTTTAAAAATTGACAATTATAACATGAACTCTATCGATTCAAGTCACATTCTCTAAAGAAACAAAAGTTTGATGAATATCATATTTTTTTCCATTATCATAATAAATTAGTTCTATTCAGCCCAATAGTATCTTATCGCCTTAATTTTTTAACGATAACAGGATCATGACTTTATGTGTTCTGAAGTGTATATAAAATTACAATATTCCTATAACTGACTGTCTAAAAAAAACTATAGTAAGGCAATTCCTATAAGCACTTGGACCGGCCCTGAACACTATTCAAATTAATATAGGTATTTATAAATTATTCTCAATTATTAGACCCTTTGGTTTTCATAATCGTAACGTACAAAATGAACAATGAAACTACGGTTTAAAAAAAATAAAACATACATTTATTGTTATCAGCAGTTTCCTCGATACCCATCTTAAAATACTTAAAACAAAGGTATATATGATATGTAGGCCAAAATAAGTTGACCTGTCAGGTATACCTAAATGAACACTAATTGGCAGATATACTAAAGAGGCATAATTTTAGAGAGGTTAATATATTTTGGCCGTTCATAAACGAACTATTGCATAACATTTAATAATATTACATTAAAATCTAAAATATTTCAGCTTCAGTTGCAACAAGTGATATACATATAAAGAATTTTATAATAACCATGATCCTAAACCTGTGCTACTATGTTACAGAGCAATATTTGTAAATATCTAATTTATCGGAATATTTATTGAAATCACCGTTGCAAAATAAACAGACACCATACTTTGGAATTACTATTCATATTAAAGAAGGGCATTTTAAACAATAAAAAAATAACAACGCCTTATAAACAAAATGTTTTCAAATGACCCAGTCACCAATCCTCGTGTTTTTATATAGGAAAAGGGGCAATTGTAAGAAGATATTTTTCTTTCTTCATAAAACAGCACAGTCACTAAAGCACTTTGTAAAATTAGTAATAGTTATCAGTTGTATGTTCAAACATACGTCCAGCTGCTGTAACTGTTGGACCTGTATTTGTAGTAGGTGGTGCAGTGGAAGTAGCTGTAAACAAGGCGTTTCTGCAATCTGCCAAGTCACTTTGATATCCATTCTTCTGTCCAGCCAACGCCAACGTAGAAACAAACAAGCTGAACGACAGAAGAGACAACAAAACAATGACTTTGTTGTTCAACATCCATCCTAAAGTCCTCTCCATATAATATTTACAAGTATTACTCATTTTTATTCACTTCGATTCACCGTTTAACACGACTTGTACTTTCGAAACTGTTGTAACAATTATTTCACAAAGTATACTGTATTATATCGGTGTTCCGATATCTTTTTTATCACTTGATAAAATACGTCCTCGTGTTTTTGTAACTTCAATAGTAAAGCCTTTTACTTCACTGCTAAGGGCGAATTTTGCATGAATCGGTGGTCGACTTATTGATATCAACTTGGATTAGATTACAGGTTTGCCTATTATTTGTTGATACAAAAGTGAGTCGCTTCAATTTATTCTGTATTAAATTATTTATGTTTTATTGCGTCATTATTATTTTAAGGTTCAACCATCTTGTTGGTCTCAACTACTGAACACGTGTCGAATGTGTTTTTAGACATTATATAAAAGTAGCATTATCGTTTCAATTCTAAACCGAATTTGGAATTGGGCCTGTACGAATATCATCATCGCCTAGCACCAGATGAGATAATGGTAGCCCATTAAATATATATATATATTCACATAACACAGAAAATCAGGCCTTTTATCCCCGAAGGCGTAGGCAGAGGTGCACATTACGGCACTGTACAATGTAACACCCACTTTTCTCTATTTATGTTATAAGTCCCATGTGATTGGGGGTGAGCCACGATTCCAGACTCTGTGCTACTACTGAGATTTTTTTTAAAAACCCCGTAATACTTTTGCATGACCCGGAAATCAAACCCGAGACCCTTTGCCCGGCAGTCAAAATATAACGGTTTCGGTTTTGGGGGCGAAGGTTTCGGGGGCGATAAATATGTAGATTTATGTAGGTTTAATTTTCACAAAATGTCGTTAACAAAACAAAATCATCGAGTAAAATATTGATAAATACTGATTTTGTCATCGAGGTACAGAAAATAATAATACAAAAATCCAAGTCCTCAAAAGTACATTAGCAGAAAGCTGGCAGCTTCATAACATCTTGTATTAGTTTTCATCTTGTTTTAATATAGGATAAATTCATATACGGCTCATAGATAGATTATATTATGTATGATGTTATTTATATCTATCTATATATATGTATGATTATTTATATTATTATATACGTATTTTATGTGTGCTTTGTGGCTCCTTATTAATTTTGATAATTACCACTAACATTTTTGCAGCTTACCACCTACCACATACATTTCTGCACTACCCAAAGGATGACTGGCAGAGAATGCTGTTAGCATTAAGTCCTCCTTATGCAATTGTATTGTATAAAACTTAAATAAATAAATAAAAAGTTCTGTTAGTCGATTGTTTCTGCCTACTCCAATGTGTACTAGGCACATATGTGTCGATATCTGTACAATTAAGTTTAAGACTTTAAACTAACTAAAATGATTTCCTGCACTGCCCCGTCTGTACATATAGGAGTGAGTACAGAAAATTTGTTCCTCTCGTTTAAGGTTAATGACGTCATCCGTATAACTAATTGTACGAATTTATATAAAACCCTACGAACCCCCGCCCTATGTCTTCAAATGAAGTAATTTCTAAGAATAATCTGATGGTTTGCTACGAAATAGACGCGAACATTTTTAAAGTCACTGAAACACTTTGTAAAGTTAGTTTTCTTCTATAGTTTCACTTGGTGGTATTGTAGGAACAGTTGTTGGTGGTGGTGTTGTAGAATCAACTGGTGTTGTTGTAGGAGCAACTGTTGTTGGTGGTGGTGTTGTAGGAGCAACTGTTGTTGTTTCTTCTGCGGGAACTTGGTGTGCAGTAGGATCTGTAATTGTAGCAGGTGGTGCAGCAGTAGTGGAAGTAGCTGTAAACAAGGCGTCTCTGCAATCTGCCAAGTCACGTTGATATCCATTCTTCTGTCCAGCCAACGCCAACGTAGAAACAAACAAGCTGAACGACAGAAGAGACAACAAAACAATGACTTTGTTGTTCAACATCCATCCTAAAGTCCTCTCCGTATAATATTTACAAGTATAACTCATTTTTATTCACTTCGATTCACCGTTTCACACAACTTGTACTTTCGATACTGTTGTAACAATTATTTCACAAAGTAGGTATACATCTGTGTTCCAATATCTTTTTTATCACTTGATAAAATACGTCATCATGTTTTTGTAACTTCAATAGTAAAGCCTTTTACTTCACTGCTAAGGGCGAATTTTGCATGAATCGATGGTCGACTTATTGATATCAACTTGGATTAGATTACTGCAGCTGTAGCCAAGTGCCACTTAGCGCTTGTCTACATGTAGAGTAGAAAACTAAATTATATGGAACTGACGTAAATTTTGACACTTGTCAGTGTCATCCTCATTCATTTAGTTTTCTACTCTCTCTGTAGACAAGCGCTAACGTGGCATTTGGCTAAAGACACAGGTTTGCCTATTATTTATTGATACAAAAGTGAGTCGCTTCAATTTATTCTGTATTAAATTATTTATGTTTTATTGCGTCATTATTATTTTAAGGTTCAACCATCTTGTTGGTCTCAGCTACTGAACACGTGTCGAATGTGTTTTTAGACATTATATAAAAGTAGCATTATCGTTTCAATTCTAAACCGAATTTGGAAATGGGCCTGTACGAATATCATCATCGCCTAGCACCAGATGAGATAATGGTAGCCCATTAAATATATATATATTCACATAACACAGAAAATCAGGCCTTTTATCCCCGAAGGCGTAGTCAGAGGTGCACATTACGGCACTGTACAATGTAACACCCACTTTTCTCTATTTATGTTATAAGTCCCATGTGATTGGGGGTGAGCCACGATTCCAGACTCTGTGCTACTACTGAGATTTTTTTTAAAACCCCGTAATACTTTTGCATGACCCGGAAATCAAACCCGAGACCCTTTGCCCGGCAGTCAAAATATTACGGTTTCGGTTTTGGGGGCGAAGGTTTCGGGTGCGATAAATCGATTTAGGTAGGTTTAATTTTCACAAAATGTCGTTAACAAAACAAAATCATCGAGCAAAATATTGATAAATATTGATTTTGTCATCGAGGTACAGAAAATAATAATACAAAAATCCAAGTCCTCAAAAAGTTCTGTTAGTCGATTGTTTCTGCCTACTCCAATGTGTACTAGGCACATATGTGTCGATATCTGTACAATTAAGTTAAGACTTTAAACTAACTAAAATGATTTCCTGCACTGCCCCGTCTGTACATATAGGAGTGAGTACAGAAAATTTGTTCCCCTCGTTTAAGGTTAATGACGTCATCCGTATAACAAATTGTACGAATTTATATAAAACCCTACGAACCCCCGCCCTATGTCTTCAAATGAAGTAATTTCTAAGAATAATCCGATGGTTTGCTACGAAATAGACGCGAACATTTTAAAAGTCACTGAAACACTTTGTAAAGTTAGTTTTTTTCTATATTTCACTTGGTGGTATTGTAGGACCAGTTGTTGGTGGTGGTGTTGTAGAATCAACTGGTGTTGTTGTAGGAGCAACTGTTGTTGGTGGTGGTGTTGTAGGAGCAACTGTTGTTGTTTCTTCTGCGGGAACTTGGTGTGCAGTAGGATCTGTAATTGTAGCAGGTGGTGCAGCAGTAGTGGAAGTAGCTGTAAACAAGGCGTCTCTGCAATCTGCCAAGTCACGTTGATATCCATTCTTCTGTCCAGCCAACGCCAACGTAGAAACAAACAAGCTGAACGACAGAAGAGACAACAAAACAATGACTTTGTTGTTCAACATCCATCCTAAAGTCCTCTCCGTATAATATTTACAAGTATAACTCATTTTTATTCACTTCGATTCACCGTTTCACACAACTTGTACTTTCGGTACTGTTGTAACAATTATTTCACAAAGTAGGTATACATCTGTGTTCCAATATCTTTTTTATCACTTGATAAAATACGTCCTCGTGTTTTTGTAACTTCAATAGTAAAGCCTTTTACTTCACTGCTAAGGGCGAATTTTGCATGAATTGGTGGTCGACTTATTGATATCAACTTGGATTAGATTAGAGGTTTGCCTATTATTTGTTGATACAAAAGTGAGTCGCTTCAATTTATTAACGCTTCATGCACAAAGTGTACACAAGGTGGACTTAATGCCGCAGGCATTTTCTCCCAGTCTGATCTTTGGGTGATGCAGAGAAGAGTGAATGGTAGGAGCAAGAAGAAAGCAACGATTTAATTGAGAAAATAGAAGATTATACTAACATATTTCAAATATGAACATAAATAAATATAATAATAATATATATACCTACACACGAGTACACTGCAATATACATACATACATACATACATACATAGACTCATAGCATATAATATAAATATGAACATAATTACTAATACTCTGTAAATAATTATTGTGATGATTCAGCCAACCTCTTCAAGAGAAGCTCGCGTACTTTCTGCTTAAATGTTAAACGTGTCGACACCATCCTGACATCCAGGGGGAGCGCATTCCACAGCAAAATTGCCTGCACGAAAAAGGAAGAATGAAGGAAGTCAGTGTGATGAGTGGGACATTGGAGAAGACGGTTATGGGAAGAACGAAGGTTTTTACTGTGGTTTGCGCACAAGTATTGAAAGTAAGGCGATAGATAACTGGGTAAAGAAGGTGAACAAAGAAAGGAGAATAGAGTGGTAAGCGCCCTTTGCTCCCTGCGCTGGCGTATGGGCAGCCACTTTAGTTGCAGCCGATGTGCAGAAACATGATCGTATTTACGCAGGTTGAAAACGAATCGAATGCAGTTATTTAGAAGTCGGTCGAGCTTATTGAGGAGATCTGCATTCAGGTCGTAGTAGCAGACATCAGCATAATCGATGATAGGGAAAACCAAGGCTTGCATCAACATGGCCTTCGTAGCGGGAGGAAGCAAATTTTTTTACGCGATACAGAGCACGCAATGATCCAGTAACCCCTCTGCATACATTTGTGATTTGAGCATGCCACTTTAAATTGCAGTCAATATGCAAACCCAGATTTTTGACGTCAGTACCAAACGGAATTACTGCACCATCAAAGAGCACGGCTGGTAATGATGCTCGGTCAATCCCACCTAGCGTACGGGAGCTACCCAATATAATAGCCTGGCATTTGCCGGGATTAACTGATATACCGAATCTCTCGGACCAGTTCTTAATGGATACCAGGTCACCGTTCATCTCCGAGATCGCATCAGAGAGCCTGTCAACATTGGCCTGACAGTACAGTTGCAAATCGTCAGCGTATAGATGGTACGCACACTGAAGTTCAGAAGTAATGAGATTAATGAAGATAGAGAATAGAAGAGGTGATAGTATGCCGCCTTGAGGAACACCAGCCGTTAATTCGCGCCAACCCGATGAAATACCATCCAGCCTGACCGACTGCTGGCGGTCCCGAAGATAAGATGAAAACCAGTTCAATGAGTTGTCAGAGATCGTTAGATGGGAAAGGATGGCTAAAAGGATGTCGTGACTGACCATATTGAAGGCATTCGAGAAGTCAACTAAAACCAAATATATTCTGTATTAAATTATTTATGTTTTATTGCGTCATTATTATTTTAAGGTTCAACCATCTTGTTGGTCTCAACTACTGAACACGTGTCGAATGTGTTTTTAGACATTATATAAAAGTAGCATTATCGTTTCAAGTCTAAACCGAATTTGGAAATAGGCCTGTACGAATGTCATCATCGCCTAGCACCAGATGAGATACCATTATCCATTTGACCATTCAAATGGTAGCCCATTAAATATATATATATATATATATTTAGGTATATGTATATATTCACATAACACAGAAAATCAGGCCTTTTATCCCCAAAGGCGTAGGCAGAGGTGCACATTACGGCACTGTACAATGTAACACCCACTTTTCACTATTTATGTTATAAATTCCATGTGATTGGGGGTGAGCCACGATTCCAGACTCCGTGCTACTACTGAGATTTTATTTTAAAACCCCGTAATACTTTTGCATGACCCGGAAATCAAACCCGAGACCCTTTGCCCGGCAGTCAAAATATTACGGTTTCGGTTTTGGGGGCGAAGGTTTCGGGTGTGATAAATCGATTTAGGTAGGTTTAATTTTCACAAAATGTCGTTAACAAAACAAAATCATCGAGTAAAATATTGATAAATATTGATTTTGTCATCGAGGTACAGAAAATAATAATACAAAAATCCAAGTCCTCAAAAAGTTCTGTTAGTCGATTGTTGTCGATATCTGTACAATTAAGTTAAGACTTTTAACTAACTAAAATGATTTCCTGCACTGCCCCGTCTGTACATATAGGAGTGAGTACAGAAAATTTGTTCCCCTCGTTTAAGGTTAATGACGTCATCCGTATAACAAATTGTACGAATTTATATAAAACCCTACGAACCCCCGCCCTATGTCTTCAAATGAAGTAATTTCTAAGAATAATCTGATGGTTTGCTACAAAATAGACGCGAACATTTTTTTATTCAGATATAAAAGTATCATATTTACTATATTTTTTTATAGAATAAGTCGGTACACGAGCAGACAGATCACGTCACGGGGATTGGAGATTTGGGGAGATTGGGGAAGAAGGAGAGGGAGTAATTGGGCCTCTGGTAATCTCACTCACACGAAAAAATTAAATATCATAGTTCGATCAGCTGCGGAACAAAGTGTGCTATGTGATTAAAAAATTCTATAAATAAATAAATAATTTTATTAGACAATATTGTAAAATTGTACAAGTGTAATTATTCCACCAAATATTTGTATTCTTAGCTTTTATTAACATTTTTCAGCTTTATACTATACGTATTAATCTTTGAATAGATAACGGTTGTCCAAATATTTGTAGCACGCGCAGTATTGCCAAAGTATTCACCAAAATCAATAAACTTATCGTATAGGAAGTTTAGTTTATCAATATGTCTGTACATAATATTGTAGTATATCATGCGTCATAGTTTATGAACGCAAGGTGTGAACAACAGGTCGAACCGATAAACGTTTAAAAAAAATTGCTATTTATTCAACGGATGGGATAGGCAGAGTTGAACCCTTAGCATGATGGGGCCCACCAGGGCTGATACTCGGTCTTGAGCTGCGGACAACCTAACTGCTTACCGGGGCTTTGGTTCAAAGCCGGACTAGGAACGAGGTGGTTTTTATTAATATACTAGCTTCTGCCCGCGACTTCGTACGCATAATCCCATTTTTGCCCGTCCCCGTTCGTGATTTTCGGTAAAAAGTAAAAAGAAATGTTGGTTAAAAAGTATCCTATGTCGGTCTCCTGGCTCTAAGCTATCTCCCTACCAATTTTCAGCCAAATCTATTCTGCCGTTCTTGAGTTATAAGTGGTGTAACTAACACGACTTTATTTTATATAATGTATATCGAGGGGTAACGGGCTATTTGGTTTAAGCGACATTTTGGGCGATATTGAGTTATATATATATTCGGAATCAGCGAATTTTTCTCCGTCGAATGATGCCGGTTTCATTAAAATCGGAGCACTTTTTTGGCGTTTCAAACAATTCTATTTTCATGTTGTTTCCAAAGTGACAGTGTATTAAACGACATGGATTTCGCATTTTTTATTAAATTATGTACTTGAACCATACCATCATATTAATAACCGAGACATGAACCAGTCACCCTATCTCTAATTATTAAGTCAACATGAGTTAAAGCGTTTTTCTTGTTTCTAATTTTTATTAACAAGTAACTTGAATCATTTTGACTTCCCACTAATCACACGGTGTGATGTCGCTTAAAACATTTGTCCGTCATCCAAATGCGTCATGGTACGTCTCTTGAACATTTCTAGCTGCCTCTATTTCCTACGCAGGGTGCTACTTAAACCAAATAGTTGTTTTTGTTCAGATATTTTGTTTAGTCATAAACCATTTAACCCTCTTTTTTTTTTAAATGCATGTCGTTTTATACAGACGATAACATTGATAATGAATATGAAACATTTTTCCAGTATTCATAGAAATACGAGTCGGTCTCTTCAATCACTAAGTTTTAATATGGTACATTTCAATCATGTCATATGATACCATATTTATTTCATCGCTTGGGTGTTAAAAATCGTTATCATCCAACTGGACTATCGTGCGCTGGCGCTTCAGTCACTCCAGAGTGCGCCGAAGACAGACGGGACGCGCGCACCGCCAGTGTTTACGTAAACGCTCATCGAAATTGAATCCTAAGTACTTTAATTTCAAGATGAACCTCGCGGTCGTTCGAAGACTTTGGCAACAATAACAATTTAAGGGCTATTGTGGAGGTTGATGACATACAATCTACGGCTGATTTAGCAACAGCTTTCGACGTTAGCGTCAAAACAATATTGGTACATTTGCGTCAAATTGGCAAGGTAAAAAAGCTTGATAAGTGGGTGTCCCACAAACTAAATGATCAACAGAGCTAAGTATGCATCGAGCAGTGCGAGGGGGACTGGGATGCCGTCTTCTCCTTTTGCGAAGCAGTTATGCTAGCTAAGGAGGAGGCGGGACGCGTGAGGCAGCGAAGCGCTGGCTCCTCGCAACCCATCCATCAGACCATCACAGATGGGGCCCAACAGGGTCGATGCCGATTCGGAGTCGCGGAGAACCTAACGGGTAACCGGGGCTCCGGCTCGACGTGCAGGAGAAGAAACGGGGTGATTTTTAGTCAGTAAAAGTCTGACACTCTTTCCCGCCTCACCCAGGTGGGAGCAGCCATTCGATGATTTTCCACCCTTAAAAAAAATGCATCGA